AATCCTCATAACCTCATATCAAATCACAACTTCCAAACCTTTAACACACATGGCACCTTGTGCCCACATATTTCCATCTCACTTTGCACGACAAAATCCACGTGCTACTCAGTACATAATATCCGTAACAATTGCAAATTAAGATGTTAGATATTCCCATTTATATATCATAAAGTAAATATACGGTTTCTAGACCCAATAGGAAATTAGCAAGAAAAGATGAAGTTATTTTTAGAAATTAATTAAGTGAAGAAAATAACCTTTTTAAATAAAAATACGACATCGAATAAGCTATTGCCTTTAATATTAATTAAGTTAAAACATAATAACATTCCTTTTTAAATAAAATAGAAGAAAATCTTGGGCAAGTGAAGAAGATGAAGCTGGGGAAGCAATTGAAATAAAATATAATGATTATTAGAAATAATGAATACTAAAATATACGGCGAGTTCTAACTTAAAGGCACACAAGGAAGCATGATATTAATTCCTTCATTTTAAATCAAGATATTACGAGCGACTCAGCAGGGCAGGAGGAAATGACTTAATGTAGTAAATTTACTTTGAAAATTAATTCACCAGAATTATAGTATTAGGAAACGAACTCAGGAAATGACGGCAAGTCAATTAGTCAATGACAATAACTGGATCCTCAAAACTCAGTGAAAACCAGAAATACAAATTTTTAAAGTCTTGCACGAAGGAACTAAAGTCAATACAGTAAAACAGGGGATACTAAAACACAAGATATGATGCAGCGCGAAACCTAATCCCACCATGTAATATCAATTCACCCTTATTCCTCCTTAATATATCACCCTTATTGCTCCTGATACGGCGTGCAACCCGATCCCACCGTACAATATCAATATCATAATAACAAACATAATATATTGCGGCGCGCAACCCAATCCCACCATATAATATCAATTCACCCTTATTCCTCCTCAATATATTACCCTTATTCTCTAGTTGCGGCGTGCAACCCGATCCCACCGTATAAAATTTAAATCAACAACAACAAATCAACAACTCAATTACAAGGATTTCTACTACTAAGAGTATGAGTACACGTCAACAAGAGAATCATGTAAACATCAAAGGAATACAACAACTTATACAAAAACAACAAGAAATGTAAGGCACGTGAAAACTACACAGGCAACCACAACAATTTGCACATGTAGCATATATGCACAAAGTCATAGAGGAACTCACAATTAAGAAGTAACAAAAACAATAAGGAAGGCAATCACTTCAATTAAGGCAAATAAGGGCCAAATAACAAGTACGAGGTAAAGAAGTTCTAACAACATCATATAGAGCATGGTAGAGGTAAAACTAGCAAGTAGGAAACTTAATCATATCAGAACAACTTCCCACTTAGTGAATATAAGGACCTAAGAACCCTAAAAGGCAAATTTTTCTCAAATAAGCCCGAGCACGCACTCGTCACCTCGCGTGCACAGACTACAATTAGCATAGAAGACTCAAATCCTAAGGGGAAGTCCCCCACACAAGGTTAGGCAAGATACTTACCTCAATTCAGCCAACTCAATACTCAATTTAGCTTTTCCTTTACCAATTTACCATCGCTCGGCCCAATCTAGCCAAAGAAGACTTAAATACATCAGAAATGCAAGAGAAAATAATTGTAATTAACGAAGCTATGATCGTGATACAATTTTGAAAAGTCAACTCCTCGAGCCCGCACCTCGAAACTCGACAAAATTTACAAAACCCGAACATCCATTCAATTACGAGTCCAACCATACCAGTTTCACTCAAATCCGACTCCGAATCGATATTCAAAACTCAAAATTCACTTTATGAAATTTTAAACAAAACCCCCAAATTTCACTTTAAAATCATCAATCAAATGCCTAAAACGAAAATGGATTTACGAAATATAACAAAACCCGAGTGTACAACACTTACCCCAACCCATATAGTGAAAATTACCTCCAAAAATTGTCCAAATCCGAGCTCCTCAACTCAAAATATGACCAAATGAACAAACTTTCGATATTAAGTACTTTTGCCTAGCTGTTCTACCTCGTTTTGCGTGCCAAACAATTCTGAAACTCGCTTTTGATGCCTCCAATGGATTCCTTGTGAAATTTAGATCAATAGGCTTTTGAATCACTCCATTTGACCTTATAATGAAGGAGATATATTGGTTTCAATATTTGGAAATAGTGCAGATTTTAAAATACGAAGTCAGTGGTAATTTCGTAATTAATCTAAAAAATGTAGCAGCCCAATTCTTAGTAAAATGACCATAAAATCCTCATACGATGTTCAAATTGATGATTCTTTTGGCATGGATCCTTATTACCATACAGATCTAATGCTTCAATCAAAACAGAAATCGGAGCTCATTTGTTTAATGTGGTACTATTTATGCTTGAAGAAACGACGTCGAAACATAAGAAAAACGAGCGCAACACAATCCAAACCTATCTGAAACTCACCCGAGCCCCTCGGGACCCTGTACGAACATACCAACAAGTCACATAACCTAACACGGACTCACTCGAGGTCTCAAATCACATCAAACAACACCGAAACGACGAATCACACCATGAATCGAACTTATGAACTTTCCAATCCTCCAACTTTAAAACTCGTGCCGAAACCTATCAAACCAACCCGAAATGATGCCAAATTTTTGTAGGCATGTCCCAAATGACATAACAGAGTTGTTCCGACTCTCGAAATCATATTCCGACCCTGATATCACAAAAGTCAATGTATGCTGGGAAATCGGGAGATCAATTTTCCTCGACATAGTGTTTTGAAGAGCAAATCCCGAAGGCACGAATCTCGGTTCGGTTCCCCCACGAGACCTAGCTGATGCCTTGCCCAGATCGAGCACCGATTAAGACCCAGATAGGCGAAGATATTCCCCGAGGGATGTGACTGGGGCCCGCGAGACTTCTCCAAACGGCTCGACGCCAGTTCTCCTACAAAGAAATGTAGGCTGTCACATCTCGTTATTTTATTGTATTTGTTTGTTATATTAAGTTTGGACGCCCCCTTTCTTTCTATAAAAGAAGGGTCACCAACACCTTGTAGGATCATCTCTTGTTGGCTTTAAATGAAAGTAATAATATTCTCTCTCTTTCTCTAAATTCCTCTCTGATTTTAAATCATATTCACCGATAGCTATTCTCTCGATTTGTCTATTATATCTCGAGATCGTCTTCAGCATTTTATTGTTTCTTGATCTGTTCTTCAAACATTTCGCTAAACTTTGATCATATAAAGCCTTACTTGCTTGTATATTTATCTGTTATTCCCTTCCCAACTACCCTCGATAAGATTACCCTCGATAGGCTCGAGGTAGGCTCGAGGTCTGGTCCCGAGGTATTTATTGGCTTGTCCTAAGCTCGGAAACGTCCCTTACTGGTTCGATTATCATTGTGGCTAGCTCGATCTTTATTATTTTACTTCACGTTTACCACTACTCACCCTCTCAAACTAGCTCGGGAGTAGATCACGTATTTTTAGAATCCCATTTTACAAATTTAATTGTTGTTACCATTTTCACGGTAAACAGTTTGGCGCCCACCGTGGGGCTAAAAATAATAGTGATTATTTTCTTGCTAGTTTTGTCACTTAAACGCACGATATCTTTCACACTTTTTCTTGCCCGAAAACTCTTTGATTGCATGTCAAAATGTCCGGCTCGATAAACAGGGTTGAGAACAATGACCTCGAAGACCATGGGGAAAACGGCGTGGCCATTCCGGCCATCGGAGCACCTCCACAGAATCCTGACGGCGTTCCCGGACCAATCCCAGTAGACGCGGATTCGCAGGATGCTCAGCAAGTAGACGAAACGTCTCACACCGACAAGAGCGTACGACGCAGCGACCAACTAGAAGTGCAAAAAACCCTGGCCCTGGAAGAGCAGGAAGTTAGTCTTCACGTTATCTTTGAAATGTTGCAGGCACAGCAACTAGAAATCGCTCAGCTACAGAGCCGCCCAAGAACCCCCAGTACAGTGGCACCAGATACAGCTCCCCCCGCAGACGGGTACTCGAAAGGTCAAGCAACAACGAGTCGGTGACTGACCCCGCTATCGTAAAATTACTCGAGGACCTCACCAAAAGGATCGAATCGGGAGAGAAAATGATCGCAGCCAACGATAAAAGGGTCGAAACCTACAACTCTAGGGTCGATCAGATCCCTGGCGCCCCTCCGGTCCTTAAGGGTCTAGATTCAAAGAAATTCATTCAAAGGCCATTCCCCGAAGAAGCGCCGCCGAAACCTATCCCGAAGAAGTTCAGAATGCCGGAACTCCCTAAATACAACGGCACATCCGACCCCAACGAACATGTCACTGCGTATACCTGCGCAGTAAAAGGTAACGACATAAAGAGTGACGAGATTGAATCCGTACTATTGAAAAAGTTCGGAGAAACGCTTTCAAAGGGGGCCATGATGTGGTACCATAAACTGGCCCCCGACTCCATAGACTCATTCGCCATGTTAGCGGACTCTTTTGTAAAAGCACACGCCGGAGCCATTAAAGTAGCGACAAGGAAGTCCGATGTTTTCAAAATCAAGCAAAGAGAAAACGAGATGCTGCGGGAGTTCGTGTCCCGGTTCCAAATGGAACAAATGGAGTTACCACCAGTCTCCGACGATTGGGCGGTGCAGGCCTTCACCCAAGGCCTGAATGAAAGGAGCTCCAAGGCTTCAAAACAACTGAAACAAAATCTGATCGAATACCCGGCCGTAACCTGGTCGGACGTCCACAACCGGTATAAATCGAAGATTAGGGCAGAGGATGACCAACTGGGAGCCCCATCGGGCTCGGTGTACCAAGCAGATTCCCGACAAAAGAGACGAAGACAAGCAAAGAACGGTATCAGCCGTACCTCGAAGACAGAAGGAACGTCCCAAGGCGCAATCTGCCCCGCAACGATAGGAAGACGGATCGAGGACAAGATCCTCGAGGGGTCATCAACAGGACCCGGTTTGACCGAAACATGGGACCAGTCAACGCACCTCACTTATCGCAATACAATTTCAGCGTCAACGTATCAGACATCGTGTTCGCTATCAGCAAAATCCGAGATACAAAATGGCCCAAACCAATACAGTCGGATCCTTCGCAGAGAAATTACAACTTGACGTGCGAGTTCCACAACACACACGACCACCGGACCGAGGATTGCCATCAACTACGAGAAGAGGTAGCCCGACTGCTCAACAAAGGACACCTCCGAGAATTCCTCAGCGATCGGGCCAAAAATCTATTTCGAGACAGGGAGACAGCCAAGAAGAATGAGGCAAACGAACCTCAACACATCATCCACATGATCATGGGCGGCGCCGACACCGCGCAAGAACCCATGATGAGGAAAACAAAAATATCTATCACAAAGGAGAAACGGACTCGAGGATACATCCCCGATGACACCCTTACCTTCAGTGAAGAGGATACAGATGCTTTGTCTCAGCCCCACAACGATGCTCTGGTAATTTCCTTCCTTGTAAATTCTTTCCAGATAACACGTGTACTCGTGGATCCAGGTAGCTTGGCCAATATTATCAGGTCAAGGGTAATAGAACAGCTCGGTTTAACTGAATGAATCGTACCCGCCACTCGAGTCCTCAACGGGTTCAACATGGCAAGCAAAACAACGAAAGGGAAGATCATCATACCCATCACCGTGGCCGGCGTAACCCAACACACCAAGTTCCACGTCATCGAAGGGGACATGAGGTACAACGCCTTGTTCGGACGACCATGGATACATTGCATGAGAGCAGTACCGTCCACTCTCCACCAAATGATAAAATTCCCGACAAAGGATGGGGTCAAAACCATCCATGGAGAGCAGCACACGGCGAGAGAAATGTTCGCAATACACGATGCACTCTCGGTCCCCTTGCCTCCGCCCCCGAGTAAGCCCACGGGCGAATCAGGGCTCAACCCCGGGCAGGTCTAACAAAACACAAAGATAAACCCGCGTCGCATGCCCGACCGCGGACGATCAAAGCAAGTCAGCACCCAGGAGTATCCCGTTTCAAGGTACCTCTGTTTCTTTTATTTTATTTTCAAAATAGAAATTAACCCTCGTGCAGGCACAGCCCGAAAGCCTCGGGGACTCCCAAGAAAGGCGCGCCCGACTTGACCGGAAATATCGAGACACTAGCACTGTCCGAAGATCTCGAGACGGCCCAATAAAGGCGCGCCCGTTGCACTCTTTTCCTTAGACCGAGGTTTTTATCCCAAAAAGAAGAAGGGTTTTTACCGGGAAGGTTTTTAATGAGGCAACGCCCGCGAAGCCACCAGGAGATAAAACTCCGCACAAATCGCTCAAAGCCATATTTACGGCCAACCCCCAAAGCGGCTGGGAGCATCCCTCCTGAAATCCACCAGACTCAGAGGAGCGCTGAATAAAGATCCATACGGGGAAATGATGTATCAGGCCAAAACGGTCAAAGTAGCCAAATCTCGTTAAGACGAGAACATGTATCATTATATCAGGCAATCAAAAAACATCCCCCTTCTTTTTAGGAGAAAAGAAAGGCTCCTAAACAAAAGCAAAGCAATGTGAGAATCAACAAAACAACCCGAATTGACCTAAAAACCGGTCAAGCCAACTCGACAACACATATATCGCACCAATAAGTCAGAGCATATCTCCAACGCCTTGCTTTGCAAAAAGAAACAAATCACAGCACGCCCCTGACGTGGGTATCTCCACGAAATGCGTCCCGAGATACTCGGAGACTTAGGAAGTCCGACATCCGGACGACCCCAGGGTCAAAACTCCGGGCTCACCAAGCCCCCGAAAAATAACTCCGGGCTCATCAAGCCCCCAGAAACAGCTCCGAGCTCGTGGAAAGCTGTCTTCAAGCGAACTTGATAACTCGGAGACTGTCGCCAATTGCCACGCACTGGAAAATCTGAAATTGTAAGACCCAAACGGGCAGCCTCGGCAAAACCAGATTTGTTCTCCCTAAACTGTAAGATCTCAACAGGCATGATAAATTGTAAGACCTCAACAGACATGATAAAATGTAAGACCTCAACAGGCATGATAAACTATAAGACCTCAACAGGCATGATAGACTATAAGACCTCAACAAGCATGACAAACTGTAAAACCTCAACAAGCATGAAAAATCCCGCAATTTAGGCTACACGTTGCATTTGTAAGAATCCCTAAAGGGCATACCCTCGGTGTGGACGCCTAAAACTGCTTCTCGGGATCAAAAATAGCCCCGGCCAAATGCATACGACTACGGTCGGAACGGCTGCTACAGCCCAAAAAATACGACTCGGGGACGCCCGACTGTTGCTAAAAAATCCTCCGAATCTACTTCGGAAAGAACCGGTTAAAACACAGGCTTCCCTCAACAAGAAAAAAATGAGTCCCGACCATGTCGGCTCCAAAATCGAAAAAGCGTCGATCTACTCAACCTATGGGCTATGAACCTTCCGAGGTGCTCAAAACATCGCCGATTACGACTTGAAATCGAGGTTCTTTTAGAACCGACGACGGGTCAGGCAAAATAATCAATAAAGACCTTAACGAGAGGAAAACAAAGCCTACAAAAGCCTCCGGGCCTCACATCAAACAACGTAAGTGCCATTGTCGCCGGCTAAGCAAAGTCTCCGGGCTTCACACCGAAAGGTCTCTACGACCATCAAATTGAAAATTGACAACTTGAGGATTAAAGTGAGCTCGAATCGTGACCCGATTCGGAGACCGAATCCAAAATAGTTAAACTAAGCAAGGCCTCCGGGCCTCATATCAAAAGGTCTCTATGACCATACAGCGAAAGTGCCATTGTCGCCGGCTAAGCAAGCCTCCGAGCCTCATACTGAAAGATTTTGATGACCAAGCAGCAGAAAGGCTACCGCCACTAGTCGAAAGCTCAAATGAGATTCAAGGGTCAATTACAGCTCGAATCGCAACGCGACTCGGAGACTGGACCTAGAAGATCATCAAACGCCTTAGGGCGGGAAGCAAAAGGCATTATCGCCAACCAGAACCTCCGAAAGGGACAAACGCTAATTGCAACTCGAATCACGACACGATTCAGAGACTGGACCCAAGGATTGTAGTACACCCGGAGGTACGACACGAAGACCATTATCTCCCAACTCGGAGACTAGCTCCAAGAAAATCGCCAAACACCCAAAGGCGGAGAATGAAAATCATTATCGCCAGCCCAAGCGGGTTCGAAGGTAGGATAAGCCTGAGTCAGGATCCCGACTCGGAGACCGAATCCGAAGGTAATTCGACCAACGCCCAAGAAGCACGACAACAGCCGAGGCAAATCTCCGAGCCGCTCGCCCACAAAGCCGATTCAGTCTTGAAACACGAAGGGTCATCACCCTCCCCCCATACATACGGGAAGAAAATGAAGGCCAAACGGAGCTTGAGCCATGATACGACTCAGAGACTGAACCTCAAGATATCAGGAACTCGGCATCAAACTCTGCTCCCTTGGCGCGTCCAAAAAAGGATCCAACCCACTAGCCCGAATCGCCACGGGAATCCCCCTATCTGCATATTCCCCGCTACTGCCTACGCAGTTAAGGGCCCTCTCAAACTCGGCCCCAACAAGCAAAGTAAGCCGCTATTTTTCGCTCCGCCCAAATCAAAAAGGTACCAAAGAAATGAAAAACCTCTCTTTTTTCGTATACATATATATATATATCTATCAAGCACGCAGGGCGCCCTCTCCCTCCGCAGGGACCTCACGACTATAGATCGGTCAAATCTATGCCCCGCACAAAAGGAAAACAGCTCGTCAAAATACGCCTTCTATGGCCTCGGCAAACGACAACCAAGCTTCCCGATTGTCCTCCTGGCTTGGGCCAATTCCTCCGGGAAAAGGAGCTCCCCGCACCGACCTGATCGGGATACTCCTCGGCAAAAAAAAAAAGCCACGAAATAGCTACCCTTTGACCATTGGGCCATCTGGTCGAAGGTTATTTTAGCTTGCCCGCTTCGCCTGATGTGTCTCGAGACACCCGAAGGCGGAACCCGAGAATAATTAAACAGTGGATACGCCTGAAGAGACGACCCAATCGGCGATATCAATACGCCATTGGCAGAAAAGGCGAATCCCCGGAACACACACCCATGAAATCACTCCGGCCTAGAAGCACGGAGGATCACCGCCTTCCGCCCATAAAGGCATATGAGAGCCGGAGGACCTACCCAAGCTCGAGCCATGATGCAACTCGGAGACTACCTGCAAAACCGATCTGTGGGATCGAGAGCAGCGACAGGAAAAAGGTACAAAAGGAACAAAAACCTTACAAAAATTTCTTATATTACATGCAAAAACATTCTCCGCCTACAGGCACGCCCCGCGCGCCAGAAACAAAGTTACGAAACAACGGAACCTCTATTCTTCGTCAAAAAGAACACCCCCTGCAGCGTCCACAAGGAGTGGCCAAACATCACCTTCATCCACCTTGGCTCAGGTCAACTCCTCTAAAAAGACAAGGCCCTCGCTCCAGCTTCCTCAAAACGCCTCCCTCCAAGTTCAAGCAGCAAACATGTTCTTCGACCCTCTCTTCGCGATCGAGGGCTCGAATCAACTCGGACTGAACGGCAGCAACTTCCCCCATACAAAGTCTCCATCTCTCGATCAGCCCTGGGTCGGCTTGATACAGCTTCCGCATCGATTACCCCGGCCCTGACCTTCGAAAGTCCGGACTCAGGTCTCTCGATCACATTCATCTGAACCGGGGCATTCTCGCAGGACAAGTTGAGGTGAACCTCAAAGATCAGGCTCGAGATTATCCAAGGCTCAGGTCCTAAAAGAACCAGCCCGGATCTAAGGCCATCGCAAGTCCACAAAAGGCAGCTTCGTGTACAAGAAGGAAAACACGAGATACGCCCCTGCAGGACATCTCCTTGTCTCCCTGAAAACAAGTAAAGAAGGTGTCCGGGAACAACGTCAGCGGCTAACGCCCGAATAACGAGACATACGCCCGAGTTTGCGACTTCCACTCCATAGGAGTAGACGCCGAGGGCCAACCTTACGCTCTCTAAAGGAGTTACCCACATTATCAGGGCTCGCCAGTGCACCCGAGGATGACCTCCATCCGGCGTATCGTCCCCAAAAGCCCCAAAGGACGCAAGAGAAANTGAGTGTTCGGGACATTTTGGCTCTGGAGCTTGTTTTGTGATCTAGATGTCGCCTCATTGAGGGCATACGAGTTAGGAGTTCCGAACCGGAGGTCGCATTGTTTTGAGTTGTCGATGCTAGTCCCCAAGTGTTTGGGGCGTTTTTGACAGAGGAGCCATTTTTGCAAAAATACCGAGTCTCTTTTGAAGCGTGAAATTCTTTTTGAAATTATTCTTCGATTGCTTGAGCATACATGTCTTTGCAGTTGAGGGTTCGGTTATTCTATGCGGGCATGGTCCGTTCAACCGTTTGGCCCGGTACATTGTTTTTCCCATCGAGACCCTATTCGGCGTATCTTGGCTTCTCCGAGTAGGTGACCTTCCGGGGGGATGCCCCCCAGTATTCGAGGTTGTTTGAAAAAGAAGCCTTGAATACTTGTTGAGTCCTCCTTAGGTAGCATGTAGATGTAACCTTGCCGGTAAAACCC